GGCGATAACGGATGGGATTCAACCTCCCTCTCCCCTCAAGTGAGGAATGGAGCAAATACAAAACAAGAACAGATAAACAAATGAAGAGCAGACCTAGAGAGAGACAAAAACAGAAATGGTTCAGAAAGACTCCCACCGAGCACAGAAACACCATCCCTCCTGCTCCCCCAGGAAATGGCCGCCTGGTGCCCTGCTACAGACCCACTCATCTCCGCGCCCACCAGCAAGCGCTGGTGGAGCAGGGTGACCCCAATCCTGATGCCCATAGCACCCAAGCAAGAAGCAGAAGCGCTTCGGACAACAGGACACCCTCGTTCCTGTCACCCTGCTTCCCTCCCCAGCCGCAGCAGGGATTCCCGCAGGCGAGCGTAGGAGGAGGGCTGGGTCTAGTCAGGGCTGCTTTGATGCAGACCTAAAGTTTCCGTGCTGCGATAGGGAAACCACTTCAAAGGTGAAGGCAGCAGAAACATCACCTATGTAGGTAGCGCATAACTGCCCCCAACGCCGTCACCCAAGCCACGGGGCAAAGGCCAGCGTGTGGCTGGCTCTCATCTCCAGACTGGATGAGCAGCACATGGTGCTGGCTGCAGGAGCATGCCAAGAAGGGGGCTGGGGACCTTGGGAGAACATCAGGGACAACAGGAGGGCCAGGGGTGCAGGACAAAACGATGCAAGAAGCAGAGAAGGAAAAGTTTAAGCCTAAAGTTTCAGCATGAGTGGCGCAGGAGGAACTGGCAGCTTACATCCCCTTGTCAAAGCAAGGCAAACGCGAGCCAGCCAGTCTCAGCCACCTGCACCCACAGGGGACGTCCCAGCATCTCCGGTGCTCACCGTTACTCGCCAACGCTGTTGCACAGCGACTCCTTCTCCTGCAGAGCCGCCATGGCCAGGCGCAGGTGCTCCTTCAGCTGCTCGATCTCTCGCTCTGAGCGCACCTTAATGTGATTCAGCTCTGCATAGACGTCTTGGTATTTCCCTGAGGCAAATCTCTTATCCTGCCAGAGGAGAGGTTAACAGGTTTTAGGGCTGATATTAGGGAGGGGGGCTGCAAGGCAAGCCCAGTCGAAGGACCAGCAGGTGAGGAGGGGAGAGCCAGCCCCAGGTTTGAAGCCCATCCCAATCTGGGCCACACAAAAACCATTCAGAAGAGCGTGGAGGTAGTGCTTCCCAAACTCTGGGCCAGGGAGGAAGGCAGAATTGCTGGTCCCGCAGTAGCGGGGATCTGCAGCATGAGATAGAGGAGGCGATGTGGGCTTTACCATGGCTTATGTGCGTTTGGGCCAGCCGTATGGGAAAAATAAACCCCACCAGAGATGCAGGCCACTGAAAGGGCCGGTCTCAGCCACTTATGTGACAAAAAGCTTAAGTGAGAAAGTTAATTATAAACTCCTGGAGCATCACTGAATCTCAAAGCCTCTTTCAGGTTCCCCTTCGGCAGGGGTCTTTGAAAATCCCTCTGAAGGAGCTGCTGCCAGCGGAGGGAGCTGCTGCCAGCGGAGGGAGCAGCACACGCAGCAACAGTCCAAGGAAACATGTCCACTGAGCAAGGGGACAACTAGGGGATAGAGAAGGCAGCTGGGGAAGTGGAGTGCCGGGCAGGCTTCATCCAGGCTTCCCACCTGGGAAAGGGCTCCTGGCTTGTCCATGCTTATATGTATATACATCTGGGGAAACCAGCAGCAAAGTCTCCGTGACGTTTCCCTTGTACAAGGCAATTCTACACCAGCCTGCGCTGTTCGGAGCATGTGCCTGCTACATGTTTGGGAGCAAGCAGGGATGAGGAGCACAGGTGCCGAGAGGGTTTGGCTTGAGCATCCCATCAAACCCAGCCAAACCCTGCTGACGTGCAGCCGTGGTGGTTCCCTCGCTCCCCTCTCCCGCCGCTTTCCCAATGGCTTCCAGTAAACACCAACCTTTTGCATCATCTGCAGCTCCTCCCGGAGGCACTGTACCTCTTTCTTTAGGTACTGGAGCTCATTCTCCTTCACCCGGAGCAGCACCTGGGCCAGGCAGGGGGGAGAGGAACCAGAGGTGACTCAAGAGCCACCGCCTCGGGAAGGCCGGCGGGCCCCGGCGCAAGCGCGGCAGTGGAAAAGGAAGGAAGGACCAGGAGGGCTGGGGCAGGAAGCGGCGTGAGCGCCCCGGGAGAGCAGCGGAGGGGAAGCTTGTGCGTACCTCCTTCCTGCACCAGCCCTGCTGCTCCATCCGGCACCTCCCTCCTACCTGCTCCAAGTCAAAACTGCCGCAAGGAGGAGACCCCCGGCACGGGGTGAGGTTGGAGGCAGCAGGGCAGCCCGGGGGGACCATCATACCTCTAGTTCACAGGAGCTCCGCTCGTTGTTGTGCAGAGAGCGGTCCCCAGAGCTCCGTGATGAAATAAAGCTTTGCAACTTCCCGATCTCATCTGAGAGGCGGGTCTGCAGCTCCTGCAGGAAAAACCAAATGACATCAGAGTAGCCATGGCACAGGCCTCTCTGCTGTCCTGACCTCTCCATCTTCATGCCAGCCCTACTCCAGCTTAGAGATCTTCTAGTAACCCCCTGCCCATAGGTGATGGCAGCACCTACAACCAGCAGAAAAGAATACACTTGCCAGACTTAGCAGCATAGTTAAGACAGGCCCAGCTACAGCCTCTAACTCTTGATTATTTTTCTTTCTGATGATAAAGTCTCAGAAGGGAAGAAATATGAACAAATAGGGGAGTTTTAACAGAGGGGCTGTGCTGTGCGAGGGAGGAATGCGCTCTGTGGTCTCTGCTGGCAGGGAAAGGCATTCTCTTGCCTGGTTTTTCCGGAGGAGCTCCTTCCCCTCTTGCTGACAGCACTGCAGCATCTGCTCCCGCTCCTCTGCCTTCTGGGTGAGCTCCCCAATTTCCAGGCACTTTTGGGAGTACTGCTCAGAAAGCACCTGCAGCTCCCGCTTCAGGGAATCCACGTCCAACCTGTCAAAGAGGCACCAACTCATGACTGCTTCACAATCCTCGCCAGTCCCTGGCCACCTTCCCCCTGTCATGGGCAGCCTCTGCCCACATCAGTCATTGGCACAAAATAACGTCCCCTGTGGACCAAGGCTTCAGTTTCCACCCTCCCGCACACGTGTGCAGTGCTTCTAGAAGCTTCAAGCCATGCAGGAGAAATGGAGGAGCTTTCCGTAAAGAAAGTAGAGGGAAGAAGCTATAGGGAAAACAGAGGTGCTACAGGGGAAAAGAGCGAAGCAGGGGATAGACCTCCCTGCCCTGGCAGCAGCCCTGGCAGTCACCACTGGGCACCCACCATCCCTGGGGAGGGAGCTGGGCAGGTGGCAGGGGAGACAGCTGGGGGCTATGGCTGCAGATGGGGTGCGGTGACACTGGCACAGGGCAGCAGCATTGGGCAAGGGGAGCAGGAGAGGTGGTTTCTTACTGGTGCTGCTTCTGGAGGGCATCTGAGACTGAGCCGCACTGCTGTAAGCTTCGTGTCCTGACCAGCTCCTTATTCATCTCCTCCCGGTGGGCTTTCTTCAGTGCCTCAATGGCTGCAGAGGGGAACGAGAGACAGGGGATCAGGTTGTGCCAGCTCTGGCACATCTGGGGAAACCACACCAGGGAACCAGCCAAGCTCTTGCTGCTGCAGGCTCCTAGGCCTGTCTTTGCAGGTTCCTCCTTCATCCCTTCTGCCCTTGGGGCATCCCCCATCTTCTCCACGCCCCAGGATCATCCTGACACACCAAGCGCTGCCAAGGAGACTAACACAGGGCAGCGTGGGAGCTCTCTGCCATCTCTGCCAGTCCTGCCTGCCTACAAGAATGTGCTGAGCATCAGCATCACACCAGTAGGGTCAGCAGTGTGGCTCCAGATGACTGGGATGACTGGTTTCTCCCAAGAGACATTTGGGAGAGGCAGGAGGGACCCACTGAGCAGGGGCACAGCTTGGTGTCTGCTCTTACCTGCTGCCGTTGCCGCAGCCTCCTCCGCTAGCAGCCGCTCCTTCTCCTGCCGCAGCCGCTCCAGCTCCCGCTGGTGGTGCCTCTGGAGCTCCTCCATCACTTGCTGGTGGGACGACTCCATCTTGGCCAGGCTGCGCTCACAGGCCTCCTGCCGTGCCAGCGAAAGGAGGGGTGAGGGACCAGGAGGGCAGGAGGAAGGGCTCAGGCCAGGCCAGGCACCTGGCTAGGCTGATGTTTGCCTTTCCAAACCTCACCTAAGTCCAGGGCCATTTTGAGAGAAGTGAGACCACTTCCCAGGAGAATCTTTTCCTTCTGAAAGCGAGGTGGCACTTTTATCACTGAACACAATCATTTGACAGGACCACACATCTTGCAACTCCCTTGAGCTTTGCAGAGGAAGAAACATTCCTCTTGCTCTTCTTAAAACTGAAGCAGCAAGACAGGAATGTCCCTCTTGGGCCAAGAGCTGGAAATAATGTGCCTGACACCCCATCCAGACTCTCCAACCAGGCTGCACTGCCTGGCTGGAGGAGACAAACAGCGGGAACCGCATCTCGGTATCTGCCTTTTAAATGAAGCAGCATCCCCTGGAATCAATGAAAACTGAGCCGGCTCTCCTGAAAAGTGACACCCTGTACTGCCCTGCGGCCTGATGACGGCTGCCAAAGAGTCCTCCCCAAAGCCTAATGGGTAGGGATCCTCCTCACACAGCTTGCCCTCCTTTCTGACGGCTCCGAGACCAAGAGGATGGTTCTTTCAGCACTGGGCACTGTGGCTAACTGGTGTTACAACAAAGCAAAGTGGTTCCCACCTCAGAGCTTTCCCTCCAGACACTGGCAGCACAGCCACAAGCCTCTCAGGATTTGTTCACCACCAAACCATGCCAGAATATAATTTTAAAAAGCCTTTAAGACAACAGCAGAGAGCCAGGAAGCCATCGCATCCCCCAACAGCCCCTTGTCATCCCATTCCTTCCCCTAGTACTAAGGCAAAGGCTGATATAAAGGGCACTGCAGCACCTTGTGGGAACGCAAATCCTTGCTGGCTACTCCTCCCTGCTGAGACAAGGGAAGCTGGGAAGCTTCACAGATCCTTCCAAGGAGAGTAAAAGGCGAGGGATCAATTCGGTGATCTGTCCACAGCCTGGCTGTGAACCTTGGCAGACAGAGAGAGAACAAGCCCTTTGGGGAAAGGCCAAGCTTGGCCTCAGATGTGAAATCCCTTTTGAGCCAAGTTATTAGGCAGATAAGGTGTCACTCCTCCCCACTCCTTTTGCTTTTTTTGACCATAAAGAGGCCTGTGAGCTGTAAATATTAAATCAAGATGCCAGAGTGACTGGTAAGTGGCTGGGCTGGGCACCACGGGACTCGTGGGTTTCTTTATCTGGGCTAGGTTGCCTGCTGCAACAGGCTTCACGAGCCACAATTTCCTCCCCGCCCCCGACCCCTAGCATCTTTCAACACACAGGGCGCATCCTGAAATCCCCGCAGTGTGGTGGAACAGCAGCCTCCCTCCAGGAAATCCCTGCGGGATGTGATCCTGCTTGCTTTGGATGACTCCGTGGGGGGGAATAAATAAACAAAGAGAAGCGAGAGGCTCAAGTGTGAGCAAACTCTGTTTTGGGGCTTTCCCACGTGCCATCCCAGCAAACAAACAGGCTGTGCTGTCAGAGTGACCTTCAGGACTTGGGTGGCACTGGCTGGCACGGGAGCTCCCCAGGGCCTGACGGACTGCTCTTAACAGGGGATTCAGGAGCCCCTGTTAGCAAGAACCACATGTGGTGAGCTACAAAGCGCCAAGGAACACGCAGGCGGCTCAGCAGAAAGCTGCTGACCCACTCCTGAGCAGGGGGACAGCTCATACCCCTAGCCCAGCCCAGGCCAGCATCACACCCACGCACAAAACGGTGCACAGATCCTGCACCTCTCCCCTAACTCTCCTCCTCCCTGTTTATACTCTGTCCCCTTTAAGGCCAGGCCACACACACCAGCCTTTACGTAATTAACATTGATTACAAGTGGGCCCAGTTAGGGTCACCATGGCAACCCAATGATTAGCGATACCTGCTTGGCAATGAGCTGAGTCCTGACATTTCCCAGTTTGGGACTTTGAGTGACATCAGAGTCTCTTGTCCAGTGCCCCACTCACCTGCGAGATGTACCCCCGGGGCACGTGGCTGTCTCCCTGGGATTTTGCTGCCTCCCGAAGGCTCTCATTTTGGGCCCGGCAGGACTCCAGCTGTGCCCGCAGTGACTGGACCTGTGCCAGGGAGGGGAGAGAGATGCTCAGCCAGGGGTGGGAAAGTGCTGCAACCTGACCAACATGCCGCATCTGAACAGCAGGCTTAGAGATGAGGAGGACCGTGCTCAGCCAACGGCAATATCTGCTTCCCACGGGAATGGCAGCCTGCCAAGGGACCAAACCGGCAAAGCCAGCCCCAGCCTGGTAAGCACTAGCAAGGAGGGGAGGAGACATCCCAACTTCCAGAGGTGGACCCATGCTGGAGGAAGCCACCGCTGCACACATAGGTGGGATGACAGACAAGTGCATGGCTCCTTTCAAAGGCTGCCAGGTGAAGTGCTTGCAGGCTTGGGAACAGCCAGAGAAGAGACGCTGTGGAGGTACTCCCAGGAAACGCAGACTCCATGCAAGCAGTGCCATCAACTAACTTATTCTGGACCAAAATGTGGCCTGGGGAGCCTCTCCAGATGTGTGAGAGCAGGTCTCCATCCTTGCATTATCTGGTTGCAAAAGCTCCCATGCACTCAAGGGGTGGCAAACGGAGCCAGAAAGAACGAACATCTCCCTGCACCTCTGCCTTGCTCTTCTGCAGCCTCCTGCTGCCAGGGACCACACTAAGTGGCCACCAGAATCCCAGTTTCAGAGAGGAGGGATGCTCTTACCTCCTTTCTCAGTGCCTCGTTGGTGTCTCCGTGGCTCCCCTTGCTCTGGTTCCGCAGTGCTGTCAAGTGTGAGTCCTTCAAGGGAAGGCCTTCCAGCTCCAGCCACTTCTTCTCTATCTCCTCATTCAGCCGAATCCGCTGGTCCTCTGAAAGCGGGGGAGCGGGGAGGTCCTGCTCCCCCGCCTTGCGGGAAGAGTCCCCTGTCAGGCCATCACTAATTGGGACTCTGCCGTCAGGGGTCTCAAACCATTTCCGCCTCTCCTCCGAACGGACAGCCAGATCCCGCTCTAGCTCCTCGTGCTTGGGAGTTCGGTCGGAGGTCCTCAAGCTCCCTCTCGTCCTCTGCAGGGACCCCTGATTCCCGGGGTCCTGTGGCAAGGGAGACAGCTCCACGTAGTCAAAGGCATGGCGCTGCCCATCTGCCTTCCAGTGACCGCCCTTTGAGTTCCCCTCGGAGCCTGAGCCCGGCCGCTGCTGCTCCTCTGTCCGGAGTGAGCCCTTCTGGGGGACACAGTTACGGAAGGAGTTCTCCTTATCGCAGTCAGACAGCCTGAAACCAGAGCAGCAGCCGGTAAAGGAGAGGCATTGCGTGGGAAAGGATGCTGACGGAGGCACCGCCAACTCCCCAAGGATCAGCTCTTGCTCAGTCCGGCCTTACAAAACCCCACCCTGAGCATGGGGCTGGGCCTGTAGTATCCCATCCCTCAGGGAAACGGGTTCCTCCATGGGGCAGGGAGGATTCACCCCCAGTTCCAGCCATGCTGGTGGAGAAACTGGGCTAAACTGATGTGGTGAGAAAAAAAAAGCAGGTGCAAGAGCGGGAGCCAACAGGCTCTCAACCCCTGCCTCCATGTTCAGGACGAGCCGAGGGCAGGGCTGATCTGGGAGCAGCTGGATTTCCAGAGGGACCTTCCTGGTCCCTGCCTGCTAGGGGAGAAGGTCAGCAAGAGGGGAAAGAGAAGCAGCAGCGCCGGGCAGCTCTTACTTGGTGACGTCCGGAGCACTGACCGGGCGCACGTTCTTCCTCAAGGCCTCAATCCAGTTGCGCCGGATGCCCGAGGTCATTGCTGACAGGGTGAAGACGGCATCCTTTGTCTGCACCAGGGAGGCAATAGAGGCTCTGTCAGTGCCTGGCAGAGGTGCAGGCAGCTCCCACTCGCTCCCCAAGACCCCCGAGCACCTACTCGCAGGGGTGGCAGACAGTGCTAGAGAGGCCACCCGCTGTCTCAAAGACTCTTGTGGTCAGGTGGAGTGGTGTGAACGGAGACACCTCTTTGCGGGGAAGCCCGTTACACATCCTCCATGAGATCGTCTCCAAGCAAACGCAAAAGAAACTTTGCTGGCACACTTGCCAAACGTGAGCTGGTGCAATCCAGCCGTCCAGGCGCTGGGAGCTGGGCACCAGCGCTGGGGTATAGCAGCAGGCCAAGGGAAACCCAGACCGTGAAGTGCCCAACCCTGCACACCCACAGAAATACCGGTTTTTGTGCTGCTTTAGCAGCCACCTCCTGCTGCTACAGCAAGTAGCAGAGGACAGGATTGTGCTGGGGCTGGATCCAGGGTACAGGTTGTTACTCAGAGCACAGTCAGCTAGGCTACATGGAGATCTGCAGTGCTCACCACTCCCTCCCTACGGCTTTAGAGAAGCTGCCTCAGCCAACGGGTCAAGTAAACACTCCTGGTGTTTAGCTTTGCTCCTGGGCAGCCTACAGCACAGCCTTTGGCCAGCCCTGCAAAGCCTCCTTCTACTCCTTCCTTTGCAGGCAGGCAGCACTCGTGTCACCAACCAGCCTTGCCAGGCCACCATCCTGGCACAAGGTTTGCACGGCTTGCCTCTCGGCATCTTGGCACAGGGAGGGAGCACGCATTCCCACCCAGTGTCTCTTGGTGCCTCCACTGTGCGTCCATGTGGTGCCAGACACTCACGTGTATCTGGAAGCCATAGTTGCGCTGCACTGCAAACTCTGTCACGTCCGTGCAGGAGCGGAGGTCGATTTCTCCGTCAAGGTCATCAGCCTGCAAGCACAGCCACCCGCTAGGACATCAGTGCAAACTCGGCTTTGCAAAAGGCCCTGTCACCTGCCGGCACCCTAACCAAAGCGCAGGCCACCTCTGCCTTCACCCCACAGCTCTCCAGGAGCCAGTCTCAGCTCCCCGGCACAGTGTGGCCTCTTTTAATCTGAGGGGCAGCCAGTAGTGTGGACTGAGAGTGTCAGAGATGCCCAGCCACAGGACCAGCCCTTCTCCTCAACTTCGGCCACTGACAGCCCCCACAGGCTTCACCACCCTGCCAGACACCCGTCCTCTTTGTCACCCCTTGGCAAAGGGCAGCTCGCCACCTCCGGTGCCTTTCAGAACAAGACGCTGCCGCTTCTCCCTGGAGCGTGCTGGTCAGGGCCCTGGAGCGTGCCAGGGCTGCGTTCCTCTCCTCCCAGGCCAGGAAGGAAGAGAGGTCTGGAGAAAGGCTGGCCGTGCTTACCTCCTCTGCGTTCGAGTCCCGGTAATACTTCAGGCTCGAGTCGGTCAGCACGAACCAATGTTTCTTCCACTGCAGGCGATGGGGCAGGGGGAGGGAAGGAAAAAGACAGGAGGGAAATGGATAGGCAGTTACCGGGGGAAATGTAGGAACAGGGAGGGACGCTCTGCGCCGCGACCTCTTGGCCTTCTCTTTCCCCTCCTCCACGTCCCTTCCAGCTCCCCATTGCACCCCTCGGCTGGGAGAGGGGTGCTGAGTGAATCTCCATGCCCGCACACAGAGCGAGGCACCTCCACCAAAAGCTTCCCACTGCCTTTCCTAGCAGGAGCGACCTCAGTGAGTGAGAGGGAAGGAAATCAGCTGCTCACTGGGGGATCTCTAGCAACAGGGGCTGGGGAAGAGGCAAACCCCTGCCTCAGGCTTACCTCTCCTGGCTCGTCCAGGATGGACATCCATCCCTTCTTGAAATTGAGGAGATCCGGCTGGAGAGGAAAGGACAAAACAGAGGGTTACTGCCTGGGAGTGACCCACAAAAGGGGTTTTCATGCCAGGGAGTGGCAGGTGAGTCCCCACTGTCAGAGCAACAGTGGGAATAGCCTGGCATCACTTTTAGGAAACTCATGAGGGTGTAGGACCCGGTGGAGAAGGACTGGATTTAGCTCTCAGCAGCAGGCAGTCGTTCCTATAAGAGGAAGGAGGAGATAAGGAAAGAGGTTTAAAAAAAAAAATAAAGGAAAATATGCAGCAGGGAGGTTTCTACAAGGTGCCTTGAAGGTATTTATTCAGAGAGGGGGAGGCAGAGGCAAGGAAAGCGGACAGAATGGAGTGCTCCTCTGCCACTAACAGGGCTTGCCTCGGAGACAGAGAACCAGATGCACCTTGTCCAAACCCTGGCCATCCGTGCCCCAGAGCTACATCCCTCTGGTAACTTTACCACCGATCACTTATTAAAGACACAAGTAGCTCTCCACAAAACAGCCCTCACCGCAAATGTACAAGAGGCAATTCAACAGCTGTGAAAACATGTTGCCTTTAAATAATGTGCCCCAGGGTAGAGATGAAATCAGAGTCAGAACCAGCGCTTGATTCTCTCAGAGACTTGACCTTTTCCAAGACTCAATCCTCCCCGAGATGCTGGGGGCTCCTTTCTCACTGCCCCGCTCTTTCTCTGCTCCCTCCTGCTGCAGAGCATGTCCTCTGCCCAGCCTCAGCCACTGCTACTGAAGATGAGGATGAACAGAGTTTCACCCAGATGACCCCATGCTAGAAAGAAGTTTCCCCCCGCTCCCCGCCTCCTCCTAACCTCACGCCACCAGTGCGGCATCCCAACCAGTTTATCTCCTTCCCAAGGTGAA